CCACATCGTGGTCTTTCTTTGCCTATAAACCTGCATCTATTGGAGGAAAACATGTGGGATCCATGTTAGAGACAATGCCGCGTCTACACACTGTTGATGCCCTTAGTTTTGCATTGGGGGGGGATTGTCGGTGTTAAAACCGGCAGCTCTTGAGTAGGGGGTCCCGAGCCGTGGATCTTGGATCAATGGGGAACAGGAGACGAGGGACATGATGTTTACCCAGGTTCGGGCCCTCTCTAAGAGGTAAAACCTTACGTCCAGGATGGTTACAGAGTTGATCTACCTCGAGATCAAATGAACTAAACCTAGGCTAGTAAGGCAATGGTTATTGTTCTAGCCTCTACAGACCTAAACCCTATGGTTTATATAGGCACCAGGGGTACTAGTTTACACATGTCGATTACAACAAAGGAAATAACACGCAGAATCTTCCATCTTGACTTGGAGGATATACCAAGCCTCTGAGATCTTCCTATCTGGCCACATGGTCATCTGGTAGTTTGGCCCTGTAGTAGTCACCCAACGGCCCACCTATCCGGCCCACGAGAAGTAGGTCGACGGCCAGGGGACCCCTTAGTCCAGGACTCCCTCAGTAGCCCCCGAAATAGCCTCCAGTGACGGGACTTGCGGTCATCGGCCATCTTAGAGTCTTTGGCTTGCGAGGCGAGTTCATCTTCTCCTTTGATGTTTGGAATAATCTCCCTTGGTTATCCTCGAAGGAGCGTGTTTGTCCAGGTTTGCACACATAGTTCATCAAGTAGTATCCGGAATCAGGGTCATCAGTCTTACTTAGCCTTGAAGTTCAAACGCTCGAGTGTGAACAATATTTTTGTCTGACAACTTTTCGACGAAGGGTCATGTCCGGTCACAAACATCGAACCATGGCAACCCCTCGAAACACGGTTCAAGGCTGCCTCCATAGGCATGTCCTATCAAGGCAAGGACCGTGCCCGCGTTTTAAGGGATATGATCAATGATTTCGATCATCCCATTCGCGCATAATGCTACGTGTATATCGGGAAGTGGAGAGGTCCGAAACGCAGTAAGAGGACCTTGGTCATCCTAGAGGCCTATAAAAGGGGAATGACCATTGCCATCGGCATACGCGTCCTTCCTCTTGCCCATGCTCTCCCAATCTTTAGAGATCTAGCGCCCCGTGCTATTCTTCCCAGCTAATCCTTCCAAGCCACCTCCCTACTCCGGCTATGGCCGGATCCGGTGCCAAGGGCAAGTGGGCGGCCTCCTCCATCACCAACAGTGACATCGAGGATCTGAAGAGCGCTGATTACCTCTCAACTGACATCGCTCATCGTGCCCTAGAAAAGGGCTAGGCCATCCCCACGCCTCAGCCGGGCGAATTGGTGGTGTTCATCTCCCACTTCATCCGGGGAGTAGGCTTCCCGCTCCACCCCTTCGTCAGGGGGCTAGAAGGTTCATATAATTTGTTACCACTGAAGGAATAAAATTAGGCTAGAAGTAGATGCCAAACAACAAGGTATTAGAAAGGCTGGTCCGACACCTTGACTTGCATAGTCATGGTGGTTCTTGCTCCATTCTACACAAAACACATATTGAACACTAAGTTGAATTATAAATGCAAGTATGCCACTACAATTATAATCATGGTCTTGATTTTAGTTTCCCCACCCAACCAATTCAACTTACTCACACTCATTCTCCTATGTTCCAAATTCGAAATGGTATCTCACTATAAATCTAGAAAATCAAAGGACCTAATATTTAAATTTGTACTAAAAAATCACATTACTAATAAATCAATTTCTAGTAAATATCGTCTACCTAATAAATCAATGCTAATGCCATCCCAATATCATCTACCTAATAAATCAATTTCGCAGTACTAGCTAATATCAAAATTTTATGGCTATCAGATCCGCCACCAACTGGAGGGAGATGCTTGGGAAGGGGAAGAAGATTCACGAGGGGAAGAGGGGAGACCTCACCTCCTTGCTAGAGTTGGCAGTGGCGAAGAGCGGCATGGTCGGGTGGCGGCAGCGGCACTCATCGAGAAGGAGGGAGACGAAGAAGGGTGAAAATGATGAGCTCTGAGTGATGAATCGGACTTGCTAGTTTTTACTAGACAGGGAATATTTTTTACTGGCGTGGGCCTAATGGACAGTGCTGTCGTAGGCCTGATGGGCCATACCATAGAAAAAGATAGCACATGGGGAAAAACTCAGAAAATAGCTATGGCGTCCTAGAAACATTCTACGTCAGCGGTATACTCATATCAATGCCGTACCAATTTGTCCAACACTGCCACTATTTGAAAAAAATAGTGCTGGCGTTGCTGGGAATCGTGGCGCCACTAACACAAGTTGTGGCTAGCACCTTTTCCACTAGTGGGTCCTCTCTTGACAGAAACTTGAGATAATTATGGAGACATATTGGATTGATGAAATGAGCCCAAATTTGGTGGAGTGAAGTTATATAGGTATGAGCATGCCCTCGTATATTTGCAACATTTATGGAACAATATAAAATATAGTTGCTTCACAAACTGAAAATATTACCAGAAACAAAGATTTGATACTATGATCACATATATAGTTGTATGGAATTGAAATTTGGTGGAGAGTAATGATTTGAGCATATAAAGGAGCTTGCAAAATTTCAACTCATTTGATTACCTAGCTAGTACTTCCTTCACAAAGGTTCCCTTAGGACAGGAACTTTGGAATTTGCTGAGGAAGGTTCACTAGGAAAATGGAGTTGAATTATGTCATGTGGCAAAGATTTGGATATGAAAGAGCGCAGAAAAAGTTTGGGGCAATAAAGATAAGATAAACAACACTTCCTTCACAAAGTGCCATTCTGGACAGAATACGAAAATGAATATTCCTGAATTATTTTTGAACTGGGCAAGGAAAGGTTTGTACATATTTGTGGAAGATATGGTCCACAAAATTTATGAGGATTTTGTCAAAATTAATGGCAAGGAATAAATATAGGTTTCTTCACAACCTAGGTCAAACAAGATTATTCCTTTAATAGAAAAAAGGAATATTCTCAAGAAAAATAATTTGGGGTTGGGATAGAATAGAAATGACATGATCTTGAGAGAGCTTTGAGAATGATGAACCACTTGAGAGAAGCAAGAATGATGATCTCCCATGTTTCAAGTCCATAGAACTGCTCCAAAAGAAAAATTAGAGCAAAAACCAAAGGCGAAAAATCGGGGTGTTACAAGTATCATTCCGAGGCATACAGAGGGCACCATGCTGGAGACAGAACTGCACATAAGGTATTACAGTCTGATTTTTATTGGTCTACTCTCTTCAAAGATGCACGTAAGTTTGTACTTTCTTGTGATGAATGTCAAAGAATTGATAATATTGGTAGACGTCAGGAAATACCTATGAATTATTCACTTGTTATTGAACCATTTGATGTTTGGGGTTTTGATTATATGGGATATTTTCCTTCCTCTAATAGGTATACTCACATTTTAGTTGATGTTATTATGTTACTAAGTGGGTAGAAGCAATTTCAACTAGTAGTGATGATCATAACACTTCTATTAAAACTCTTAAAGAAGTTATTTTCCCTAGGTTTGGAAACCGTAGATATTTAATGACCGATGAACGCGCAGAGCCTCCAGAAAGGATAAAGTTGAGGTTGATGTCGGTGAAGAGAAAAAAGGCCACAACTCATGGTGGTACATGGTAGATGGCTTTTCTGACATCCTTATCCTCTCCCTCTCCCCACGCCGACCATGGCCGCCGATCTGCGGCACCAGGAACGTGCGCTGACGTCGATGCACTATAGACGGTCGTTGTGGGGCATGTTCGTGTACCGCTCAGCTCGTCCCGTGTACCGCAACGAACTTAGGACCCGGGGGTACTCGGACCTGCACCCGACACGCGCGCCACGGCGGGGTCAGGGGGTGGGGCAAGGCCGGGCCAGGTGGGGCCACCGGCTGCAGGTCACGCGGCTAGGGTTGTGGAGGGGATAAAATCTCCATCGACCCTCTCATATCCCATTCCAGATCTCGATCTCCTCCTCCACCACTTCTCGGAAGCTCCTAGGGTTTCAACGCCTAGGGTTTCCCCGTCGTTCGTTTGGTGGGATGGTAAGGCAGGAGGAGACCATAGATCCACCCAGGTCGCTGCATCTCCACCAAGCGCGAGTCCTCCCACTCCCATGCGGCCATCGGCTGGATGGCTTCGGGGCGGGCCGGGCTGGCCGGGGTGCTGGTCGCTTCAGACGGGGCGTCGGGCGCGGCGGTGGTGGAGGCGGCTGCAACATGGTGTGGACGCGACACATCAAGGAAGGTGGCATGTCTCCACCAACATGGATCAAGGGCGCGTGCTGCCAGATCGAGCAAGATGGGAGGCCGCGGCCATGGAGACGCAGAGCGATGGCCGTCAGATCGAGATGTGGGGCGACAACAACAACCGAGGCAAGGCGACTACGAGCGACAATCAGCGTCCTCAACAAGATCTGCGTCCCCAACAAGATGCACGCCCTCAACAAGATTGTCGTCATCCAATTCTAGGAAAAAGGAATGCCACCCCACTAGTGCGTGGTGCTGAGGTTTGCGTCACTTGCAAAGAACCAGGGCATGTCCCCATGTGCTGTCCTAGGGCAGTTTGCGGTAGATGTGGTTTAAATGGGCATCTTGTTCCTATTTGCAATATTGTTCTTCCTTGGGAATGTGTTGCTCCTATGTGTGGATTTCAAGCTAAGGGAAAGGTTTCTTCTATATACATGACTCTAGTACACCCAAGCAGAACACTGATAGGAACAAATATATTGTGATCATTGTGATAGAGGGGCGGGCTAGTGGCAGGCAGTTGGAGGAGTTCTTTAATGCATGCATTAACACAAACTGGAAATGTTCAGCTAGATCGATTGGGCTTAATACCTTTGTCATGATATTTCCTTCACCCAGGGACGTTGACAAAGCTTACTTTGCTGAAACTATGAACATTAAAAGTTGTGGGGCTGTGGTGAGTCTTAATAAATGGTCTGAATCTATGGGTGCCAAGGGTGTACTTAACATTGTTTGGGTCAATGTTAGCAACATCCCTTTGGACAAAAGATGTGAAAAAAATATTGCATATGTTGGATCTTTGGTGGGTGTAACTCTAGACATTGATAAGTCTACTGTCAACGGACCCGAGTCGGTCAGGATCAAACTGGGTTGTAGAGATGCTGAGGACATCCCAGCTAAGGCAGAGGGGGTATTGGGAGATCATTTTTATGATTTCTTCTATTCAGTGGACAAAATCCTTGTTAAAAATACCCCAAAAGAAAAAGTGTCAGTACCTTAGGATGCATACAAGGGGGTGTCACCCAAGAGAGCTAGAATCATAGGAAATATACAAAATGGTGGTTAGGGAGTGCCTCTTCTACTGTGGGGAATCTTTCTGCTCCACCAAACTCAGTCGGGAGGGAAGTGAACATGCCTGCTGTAACAGAAACATTGGAAGAGGAAAATGATGCTGGGAAAAACAAAGGGAAAATGAGGAGAGTCTCTCTGAGGAGGAAAGTGAGGAGATTGACAATGAGCTACTTATTGACACTATTGTTGCTGAAAACAGAAAAAATCAATTGGAGGGAGTGGAGTCCCCAGAAACTCTGTCATATGAAAAGATTGTTGTGAATTCTATGCAGATCATACCCAGTGTTCCACTTATCAGAAAAAAACATCTTATCTGGATGCTGTGTTGGGGCAGCCTTATGTTACTGAACTTGATCCTGATGATGTATCATGTCAGCAAGTGCCCTCATTGTACTCAGTGCAATCTCCTGATACTTCTGGGGAGGAGAACGTGGAGGTGATCCCTACTCTACCTATGGTGGAAGAAATACAGATTAGGATGAGTCAAAGAACAACTGGTGGTAACATGGAACATATGGGGGTTCGAGCTGAAAAAATGACCAAGAAGAGAAGTCTTCAAGGTAATGAAACAACACCTAATTCCAATTGTTTTGAGTTTCAGTGATGGGTGTTGACATTCCTGACAACAATTTTACTGTTGTTGATGTGATTAGAGAACTGGAAAAATCAAGAGCCAATATAGCTGAGAAAACTCAAAATATAGAGAAACAAAAAGATAATGTGTTGTTTATTACCAATGCTGTTGGGGACAAATCTCCTTTAAATACAGATTGGGTGAGGGATGGTGAGATTGATGAAGAGGAGTTTACTACTGTTAGATCTAGAAGGAAAGACAAGAAGAAGGTTAATGTAGTGATTTCCAAACATGTGACTAGAAGTCAGAAAAACAAAGTGTCTTTTGATGCTGTTTCGACCATGCCTCATGGTAAACCTAGCAACAAAAGACAATCTCATAAATGCAAGAAAAAATGATTAGTCTCTTCTGGAATTGAAGGGGAGTGGGGAAGAGGGGTATGGCAACTTGCTTATCAAACTTGATTAGAGACTATGGTTTAGATTTTATTGGTATTCAGGAAACAATGAAGAAAGATTTTTCCTCTAAATTCTTGAGGAAAATTGATCCAGGAGAGTACTTTGATTGGAGGTGGATCCCTTCAATGGGAAAATCTGGGGGAATTTTGTGCAGTACTAAGAAATATACTTTTGATTTTAGATCCTGTGAGACAGGAAAATATATCACGAAACTTGAGTTGTGGGATAAGAGTAAAAAACTGATTTATTGTATTCTAGTAGTATATGGATCTTCTCATGAAGAGTATAAGGTGGAATTTTTGGCTTAGTTGTTTGACATGTGTAACAATACTGCTTGCCCTTACATTGTGGGGGGTGATTTTAATATCCTTAGATATGCTAAGGAGAAAAATAAGAAAACTAGGACAAGCCATGCTACTGATCTCCTTATCTCCAGCATTAATACTTTCTGTCTTAGGGAAGTGGACATGAATGGTGGTATGTACACTTGGTCTAATAATCAGCAAAATCCTACCCTTGAAAAGTTGGAGCGTATACTTATGTCCAGTTCTAGAGAAAGGCAATTTCCTTTGACTTTTGTCAGGAAATTGGTTAAAGAGATTTCAGATCATAGTCCTTTGATCTTGAATACTGAGGACTTTATCCCTAATTCAATACATAAGAGAGAATTCAGATTTGATCTTAATTGGCTCAAGAATCCTGAATTTATACCCTTAGTTGCTAAGGTGTGGATGAAACCTGTAAATGCAAATGATCCCATTGATGTGTTAAATATTAAACTGAAGAGATTCAAGAAGTTTTTCAAAGGATGGGGATCTAACTTGTTTGGGAAATCTAGAAAGAGAAGGAGAGAACTTAGAGAGGATCTAGAGCATCTAGAAAAACTAGAAGAAACATATGTACTTTCTCCTGAATTATATTGTAAGAAAGTTGATATTTTGGTGGAAATATATAGTCTCCTGGTGGAAGAGGAGATTGCCTGGATTCAAAAATCTCATGAAAACTGGTTGTTGAAAGGGGACATAAATACTGACTATTTCCACAAAATAGTTAATGGGAGAAGGAGGAGGAATACTATTTTCTCACTTAGTTGTGGAGATGAAGTGATAGAGGGGACCAAAAATCTTTTGAAACATGCAATTGAGTTCTATAAGGACCTCTTTGGGCCTGCAGCTGGAAATTTATGCAAGTTGAGGGAGGATATGTGGGAATCAAAAGAAAAATTAACAGATATTGACAATTTTATTCTTACTAGGCCCTTTTCTGAAACAGAGATAAAATATGCTCTCTTCTATATGAAACCAAACAAATCACCAGGCCCAGATAATATCCCCATCAAATTTTTCCAACACTGCAGGGAAATAGTGAAAAATGAAGTGATACTTCTATTTGAGTGGTTTCATGGCAACAAGCTAGATGTGTAACGCTTGAATTATGGGATTATCACCCTGCTACCTAAGGTTGTTGGTGCAAATAAAATTCAGCACTTTCATCCCATATGCTTGCTGAGATGCATTTATAAACTAATCACTAAGGTGCTTACAATTAGACTAGAGCGTATGTTGATATTCTGTTCAGTAGACATCAGAATGCTTTTATTAAGAAAAGATATATCATGGATGGAATCATGTCTTTGCATGAGATTCTCCATCATATACTTACATTGAAAAAATCTGGGATCGTGTTGAAGCTAGACTTCAAAAAAGCTTAAGACAAAGTTAACTGGGATTTCTTGTTGGATACTCATAAGATGAGAGAATTTCATCCGCAATGGATTGAATGGGTTAGGAAAATCTTAGTAGGAGGCACAGTTAGTGTAAAGTTGAATGATGAGGTGGGCCCCTACTTTCAAAGATCGAAAGGGGTGCGTCAGGGGGACCCGTTCTCACCTTTCCTCTTTAATTTGGTTGTTGACTGCTTGACGAAAATGGTGATTAAAGCTCAACAAAATGGCTTGTTCAAAGGGTTACCGTCTGACCTGATCCCTAATGGGGTAGCTATCTTACAATACGCGGATGACACAATTCTATGCTTCGAGGATAATCCTAGAAATGGTCTTAATATTAAGTTGTTGTTATATATTTTTGAAGTCGTGTCTGGGTTGAAAATCAATTTTCTGAAAAGTGAGATCTTTTCGGTCCTTGCTGATGATATTACTATGCAAAAATATGCTGAGATGTTTAACTACCAAATAGGTAATTTCCCTATCAAATACCTCGGCATGCCTGTTAGCTATGCTAGTTTGAAGTGTAGTGATTGGCTTTTTGTAGATGATAAATTCATCGATCATTGTGAGAACTGGATTAGTGAAGTACTGCCTATGGGGGGAAGGCTTATTAAAGTAAATTATGCGATGTCACATGTTACAACTTTCTACATGTCTATGTTTCTTCTGAATAAGACTACTTTGGATAAATGGGACAAACCTAGAAGGAAATTTTTCTGGCATAGCAAAGGAAAAAAAGGCTGCCATATGGTTAAGTGGAGCCGTATATGTTGATCCAAAAAGAAAGGGGGGCTAGGTGTTAAAGACTTGAGGAAACATAATATTAGTCTATTAGTGAAGTGGTGGTGGAAACTTGAGAAAAATAAAGGGCTTTGGCAAGATATTGTTAAGGCAAAATACTTAAAGAAATCTTTGGTTGCTATGGTTAAACATAAAGCTAGCGACTCACCTTGTTGGAAATCCCTCTTGAAAGTGAAAGACCTATATATGTTGGGCAGGGGTATCAATTTGAATAGGGGAGATGTGGCTAGAATCTGGCTTGATAGTCTGGAGGGTAGAATCCCCTTTAAAGACAGATTCCCACTCTTATTTAAGATTTGTGTTGAAAAAATTGCACTGTTGACAAATTTGAATCCCTTAATCAGATCTCCTCTTTTAGGAGGAGGATGTCTCCTGAGATTATAAAACAATGGGAGGAAATGAAAAAAGAGGTGGTAACACTTAAGCAAAGTGATTTGCCTGATGAGGTTTATTGGAAACTAGACACTTCGAGCAGATATACAACAAAATCCATGTATAAATGGCTAGAAAAGTGAGATAGCTGGTTCTAACTTCAAATGGATTTGGGATGCCAAACTGCCTCTTAAAATCCAAATTTTCTTGTGGCAAGTGGCACAGAATGCCATCCCGACTAGAGAAAACATGAAAAAAAAGTCTATGGCCCGGGGATCCTTGCTGCTCCTTTTGTGATCAATTGGAAACAACCCAGCAGTTGCTTTTTTTGTGCCCTATTTCTAGGGTGGTGTGGAGAACTGTGGGTTCCTTGATTGGAATTGATTGTTGTCCTAATTCTGTCTGGCAATATTATGCTTGGATATATAGCTTCTTACCTGGACTGGATAAAGTGTTCACCGTTGGCTTGGATGCTATATGCTGGGCTATCTGGCTAGCTAGGAACCGAGCCACTTTTGAATTCAAATGGATTAACACTCCATTTGAGATTGTATTTACAGCATGTGCCTTTTTGATGTACTGGGTAGGTCTCCAGAAACCTGAGATAGGAGAGATGGTGAAGAAAGGAGCAGAGATGCTGAGGGAGAACACAACATAGATGCTGCTGCTATGTGGTCCACCAACTCGAGCTATGGACGAGCGCGATGGGAACTGAGGTAGAGAAGATGCTGCAGGTCCCGCTCAGTAAGTTTCTTGTGTTTTGCCAGGGAGAAGAAATCGACGCGCTTGGATATCACACTGGATGACAACAGGGTTTTGCTTACTCGTATTCATTCTGAGTGTTCTAGGTTCATGTGGACAGTCTTTTTGTTGATGTTGTGGTCTGGAGCCTGATGGTGACGTTCGTAAGATATTTGGTACTCTGTTTAGGTGTTCATAGTGTGGTTTGTGTGACATCAGGTTTTCGCCCCATGATCTGTTGTTCCTGATGACAGGCG